AACGATGAGAAGACTAATAGCAATGCAGCCTTAGTAAATAGTTTGACAGTGTTGAGGGAATTATTTGTTTAGCAGAAGGATGGCGTTCAGGAAAAAAACTGTCCTTGTGTCTAGTTGTCTTGGTGTGCAGTGCTCCATAGTGTCGTTTTGACGGTAGGAGTTGAAACTGTCCAGGATGTGAGGGGTCTGTAAATATTTTCGTGGCCCTCTTTGCCATTTGGTTGCTGTTTCTCGGAGGGGAACTATGCAAATACCTCACAAGGTGATTGTGAAGCCCAGCAGAGGCTCAAATGACTAGTGAAATTGTAATTAGAATACAATAGCAGAGTTGGAAGGGACCTTGGAGGTCTTCTAGTCCAACCCCCTGCATAGGCAACAAACCCTCTACCATTTTAGACAAATAGTTATCCAACATCTTCTTAAAAACTTCCAGTGTTGGGGCATTCACACCTACTGGAGTTAATTAATTGTTCTAACAGTCAGGAAATTTCTCCTCAATTCTAGGTTGCTTCTCTCCTTGATTAGTTTCCACCCATTGCTTCTTGTTCTACCCTCAGGTGCTTTGGCGAATAGTTTGACTCCCTCTTCTTTGTGGCAACCCCTGAGATATTGGAAGACTGCTATCATGTCACCCCTGGTCCTCCTTTTCATTAAACTACCCAGTTCCTGCAACCGTTCTTCATATGTTTTAGTCCCCAGTCCTCTAATCTTCTTTGTTGCTCTTCTCTGCACTCTTTCTAGAGTCTCCACATCTTTTTAACATCGTGGCGACCAAAACTGAATGCAGTTAATTTTTTTAATTGAATTGAAATATTGTTCAGACCAGGTGCCTTTTGAAAGAAGTGAGCCACAAAAGATGCATACCTTACAGAGGTACTCCTTGTCTTACAACCAGTTGCGTAGCAACCATTTGAAATTACCCCTACCCCCTTACAATCCATTTCTGAAATTCCAACAGCTGGGACAGTCTTATGAGGTCACACAACCACATTTCGGGCACTCAGCCGTGTCAAAGTGATGGCCATTTGCAGCTTCCCATGATCACCTGTGATTTATGATGGGGTTTTTTTGCCAAAAATTGGTATTTAGTTCTGGTTTTTTTGAAAGCATGCCCCATAGTGAACAATGGGCTCATTTGGTGATTATTGTAAAAGACAGTTGTAAAATTGGGAAGCTCACAGAATGACCTATTTTACAACTGTCACCACATATGACTGTAATTGGCAGGTGCCATTATAGACGTAAGTCAAGGACTACCCATATCTTTACCCATACAGTATGATCAGTGATTACCTCTCAAAAGAATGGAATGGAATGGAATAGAATGGAATAGAATAGAATGGAATAGAATAGAATGGAATAGAATAGAATAAGAGAACAGAACAGAAGAACAGAACAAAATAGAAAATAGAATAGAACAGAATACAATAGAAAATAGAATGGAATAGAATAAGAGAACAGAAGAACAGAATACAATAGAAAATAGAATAGAATAAGAGAACAGAACTGAAGAACAGAACAGAATAGAAAATAGAATAGAACAGAATAGGAGTGGAGAAGAGAAGAGAACAATAGAGCAGAAGAACAGAACAGAATAGAAAATAGAATAGAATAGAATTAAGAATGGAATGGAATAGAATAGAATTCTTTATTGGCCAAGTGTGATTGGACACACAAGGAATTTGTCTTTGGCGCAGATGCTCTCAGTGTGCATAAAAAGACAAAATACGTTCATCAAGAATCATAAGGTACAACACTTAAGTATAGTCATAGGGTACAAATAAGCCATCAGGAAACACTGTCAATATCAACCGTAAGGATACAAGCAACGACGTCGGGGTCACCAAATGTGAAGTACCCATGGTTCGCCCATGAGACCAATGTTGAGAAAAGACACGGACACGAGCTTTCTCGGGATGAGGCAACCCAGATTGGAGTCTAGGAGCCCCTTTTATNACACTGATGATGTTACCTAGCTTGGTGATGAAACATCTGCAAGAAAACAACCAAGCTCAGAAAACACCAAGGACCCCACAGTCCTCTTCTTCCTCCTCCTCCCCCTCCTCCTCTTCCTCCCCCCTCCTCTCCATAAACTCTCCTCCATTCTAGCACTGATGATGTTACATCTGCAAGATAACAACCAAGCTCAGAAAACACCAAGGACCCCACAGTCCTCTTCTTCCTCCTCCTCCCCCTCCTCCTCTTCCTCCCCCCTCCTCTCCATAAACTCTCCTCCATTCTAGCATTGGTGATGAAACATCTGCAAGAAAACAACCAAGCTCAGAAAACACCAAGGACCCCACAGTCCTCTTCTTCCTCCTCCTCCCCCTCCTCCTCTTCCTCCCCCCTCCTCTCCATAAACTCTCCTCCATTCTAGCACTGATGATGTTACCTAGCTTGGTGATGAAACATCTGCAAGAAAACAACCAAGCTCAGAAAACACCAAGGACCCCACAGTCCTCTTCTTCCTCCTCCTCCCCCTCCTCCTCTTCCTCCCCCCTCCTCTCCATAAACTCTCCTCCATTCTAGCACTGATGATGTTACATCTGCAAGATAACAACCAAGCTCAGAAAACACCAAGGACCGCACAGCGCTCTTCTCCCCCCTCCTCTCCCTCCCCCTCCCCCTCTCCCTCATCTTCCTCCTCCTCTCCCCAAACCCCACTCCATTCTAGCACTGATGATGTTACCTAGCTTGGTAATGAAACATCTGCAAGAAAACAACCAAGCTCAGAAAACACCAAGGCCCGCACAGTCCACTTCTTCCTCCCCTTCCTCTTCCTCCCCCTCCCCTCCTCCTCCTCTTCCTCACCTGGGCTCTTTGCACCATTTCATCGGTTGTCCCAAAGCGCTCCTCCATGAGTGTCCGGATGTGCTGGGCTTCAAATTCCAGCTGCTGGCGGATCAGGTCCATCTGCATGGAAAACTGGGGGAGGCCGAAAAGAAGTTAAAAAGAGATGCTCCCTCTGCTTACGACTCCCTTCCGGGTCTCCCCTCCTCCTCCTCCTCAACATTTAAGGGCCAGGATTTGAGATGAGAGAATGTTGGAGATGTAGCTGGGATACATTTGGGGAAAGGTCTCTGTCCTTGTCCTGGAGTCTGTCTTGCCACCCACCAGCCTGGGAACTCACCGTCTCCACATGGGGAAGTTCATCCAGCCGCTTAGAGAGGCTTTGCAGTTGAGTGTAATACCAGAGTTTCTCTCTTTCCTCCTTTTCAATCTCACTCAACAGAAAACATCTAAGAGGAAGGAAAGACGGCAATTAGAGAAGGGAGGGAGGAAAAGGAGGGAAAAAAGGAGGGAAAGGAATAGAAAGGAGGGGAAGGAAGAAAAGGAGAGTTAAAACAAAAGGAAGGAAGGATAGATAGAAATAAAAATGGGAGGGAGGAGAAAAGGAGGGAAAGAAATATAAAGGAAGGAAGAAAAGGAGAGGTAAAACAAAATGAAGGAAAGGAAAGGGGAAAGGAAAGGAAGATAGCTTATTGAACATTGGGAGGCAAGAAGAGAGGGAGGGAAGGAAAAAAAGAGGAGAAGGGAGTCTATCATTTCAGAGAGGAACAAATGTGAATTCTGCTGAAGGAAAAAAAACCAAGAAAACTGAAAAGGAATTGAAAGTTTTTTTTCCTCCACACATCGGCATCCAGCTGGATTCTAGCAACATGTCAGAAGGAAGATTGGCTCCACTTGAATACTTCTGGAGGGGCGGAGGAGAAAGGAGAAGG